AATCCACACACAACACAGAGTGTGATAACATATGCGCAGCAAAATAGAAAATAAATGACTCCCCGAAATTATAATGAACGATCATATCAGCGTTTCGTTCAGCTATAAAAGTTGTCATATGTTTACATTTTTTGTGAATGACAACTAAATGGTTGTAAGAATGGTTTATGGTTTATATAAAATTGATAATAGAATGTCATGAAGTAATTTCATCTGTACACACACATTTGCTACATGCTCTGCGCTTCAAGCTAATAAAAACGGTTGAAAATACTCACTACTAAATAATGCAAGTCAGTCAGTCAGTAACAACATAGAACTTCGTACGTACGTACATCAGTTCGAGTTGCCACACCACCTTAACACAGAGATGCAGTTGTCGATCCAAATCCCGTAGTGGTAGAGTTAGCAAGAGTGTAAGCAGTGATCGGGAAGATTAGGGTTTGGAGATGTTATTTGAAGAGTATAATTCAGTGAAATAAATTTGGAAAGAGGAAAAAGACAAGGAGGATTCAGGAGATTAGAAATTGGGAGAGCACAAAGAGTGGATGCACCTGCGCCATTGCAAACGATTTTGAGCCATGTCATTCAGGGTCTCTAACCATCGGTTGCTATCAGCTCGCGGTCCCCAACCAGGCAGTCTACACCTATCAACATGACTCAGACCACTTGTCAGTGACTTCATGGACTTGTGCCATGTTTTTGTCTGGCCGCCCCTAGCTTTCTTCCAATCTACTCCTATACCACTGAACATCGCACGTCGAAGCAGTCGGTGGTTGGGCATACGTAACACGTGTCCCAGCCATCTCAACTGATGAAGTTTCACTACTTCATCAATTGATTTGCCATCCTTACCTAGTACCCGTTTCCTAACAGCTGCGTTACTTACTCGGTGGTCCCAGGATATACGAGCAATACTTCGAAGACACCTATGATCAAATACTAGTAACCTACGAATATCCTCTACTCTTACCGGCCATGTTTCACAGCCATAAAGTAGGACGGAACGAACTGCTGCGCAGTAAACACGTCCTTTGGTTGGTAGACGGATATCTCGCCTACGCCATAAATGACGCAAGTTGGCAAAAGCTAGTCGAGCTTTCTGTATCCGTGCTGAGATTTCGTCACACACCAGACCACAAGGGCTGACGAGACTTCCAAGATAAGTGAAGCGGTCGACACACTCAACTACTTCACTCCCTATCACTAGTTCGGGTGTCGATGTAACCCAATCCTGAAGCAACATTTTGCATTTCGAGGGAGAGAATCGCATCCCGAACATGCTTGCATTGTTGCTTAGAGTGGTCAGAAGACTCTGCATTTTGTCAGCGTCTTCACCAAATAAAACTATGTCATCAGCATATTCTAAGTCAACAAGTGAACCTCCCGGTAGAAGTTCAACCCCTGGAAAGTCAAATGAGGAAAGTGTCATCTCTAAAAGTACGTCGACCACAAAGTTGAACAAGAATGGAGAGAGTGGACAGCCCTGACGAACACCACTTGATGTAATCAATTCTGATGACAGTTCGCCATAAGCTCTCACTCTACCAGATGTGTTCGAGTAGAGAGCCTTTATTAGGTTAATGTACTTCTTTGGTACTCCTTTCAGTGACAAACACTGCCATAGAACCTCACGGTCAACAGAGTCGAATGCCGCCTTAAGATCGAGAAATACTACCATTATGGGGCGTCTGAATGTGTGTCTGTGTTCTAGAACCTGGCGTAGTGTGAATATCTGATCTATACAACCACGTCCAGGTCGAAAACCGGCCTGGTTTTCTCTAGTTTGCTCTTCACGAGCTTTGATTAGGCGTCGAAGTATTATTGAAGCTAATATTTTAGACACTATATTAGTCAAAATGATTCCTCTATGATTGTCACAAGAAGACTTTTTTCCTTTCTTATAGACTGGCACAATCAGTGATTGAGACCAGTCAGATGGGATTACGTCCAGTTCCCAAATTCTACCTAAGACCTCGGTTAATCTCATTGCTAATACTGGACCACCATCCTTAAAAATCTCAGGAGTAAACCTGTCAGGGCCTGCTGCTCTGCTTCGTTTCAGATTTCTTATGGCTTTTTCAACTTTGTAAATGGACGGAGGACCTACATTAACTTGCCATTCAGGTTGACTAGAGATCGTGGGAAACCGAAGTGTGGCTGAAGGCCAGTTGAACTGATCCCTAAAGTGTTCTGCCCGTCGATCCAATCTCCTGGATTGAGAATGAATAATATGTCCATCTTTCTCTGAGATTGTTTCGCTAACAGTCGGGTTCCTAATTCCGGTTTCCTTAACGAGTCTAAACAATTGTCTGCTATTACCTATTGCCGTTGCCTTTTCCATCTCTCTTGCTTTCGCTACCCACCACTGTTCGCGATCATTGCGTAGACTTCTTGTCCGCTTGCGCTTAAGCTGACTCCGCTCTTCACTATGCTCAGAGCCAGGTGGAATGAGTTTCCGAGCATCTATCAGTGCGATAGATGCTGCTGAGATCCAGTGTTGCTCCCTAACCTTCTGATTTACCTTACTAGCAGATATCACTGCTGTTTCCACAGCTTTTCGGATATCATTCCAAGCTGCATCGGGGTGGGCATCACATACATGGCTGCCTAACTGTTTTTCTAGTTGTTCCTGAAATATACTCTTAGCTTGACTATCTTTAAGTAGGCCCCTAGGAGGTTTCCTTGCAGCGTCTTTCCTACGTCCAGTAAGACGCAAGCAAATACGCGCTCGTACTAGAGCATGATCTGAATCTAAGCATGTGCTCCAGAATGAGCGACAGTTTTCTATCGAGCCCCCCCATTGGTGGCTGATAGCGATGTGATCTATTTGGGTCCAACGTCGGGACGAATTAGGGGGTCGCCATGTTAAAAGGTGTTTTTCCTTATGCTTAAAGTTAGTATTTGCAAGGAACAGGCGATTATCTGAGCATAGCTGCAACAGACGGTCGTCATTATCTGTTCTTTGAGCCACGACACCATAAGATCCACCTAGGTGTCTTTCCCCATCGCTTAGTTTACCTACTTGAGCATTAAAGTCACCGGCCACTATTAATGCATCAGAGCGCCTAGCTTTTCGGAGAAGGTCGGAAAGCTTTCTGTAGAACTCATCTTCTACATCATCTGAGCTGCAGTCAGTGAGAGAATAGGCAGAGACGATGAAGAAGCAACGACGAGTGTCCCTATCTTTCCGGATTCTTACTGTTCCGTTCAGTCGGACAGCGCACAAACGGCTGTCTACTGGGATCCACTCTAAAAGAGCTAGTTCTGCCCTAGGACTCAATGCTATGCCTACGGGTATGAGGGCTGATGTCACTTCCCGGCTGCCCACACCGTGAAAAGGTATTTCTTGAGGAACCTGAAAAGGAAATTGGATTAGTGTTGGTCTTGACGACCTGGGAGCGTGACCGCAGAGCCCAAAGGACAACTGCTTGAGGCCGGTCGCGCACGGCCTTTTTGTGGAAGGTTTTTGACGTGTTAGCTCCGTTCTTCAGAGGGCCTTACCGTCGGAGACGGAAATCCGTGAGGTAAGGTGACATTTTTAGGGTTGACCTTTTCTAAGGGAAACACCTTACTGCTGTCACACCTCTCTACAGTCAGCAGTACGACTTCGCCCTGAGTTGCTGCTTTTAGTCTTACCGTTCACCAATCGAACCTACAGGAACATATGTTCCAGCCAATATAGCTCGTTTGGGTCATCACGATAGGCAAGCCCGACCACCGCGTCAAGGTAGCAGCTTCGGTCGGGACTAAATAATGTAATTTCGTATCCACCTTGTTGTGCTAATGAGATATGGTAGTTTGGACAGACTCATATGTATACCTGGTTTTACGTTGTACCCGACTGACTGTATTTTTGTAGACTAAGCCACTTCAATATAGTTACCACTTATTTCTTGCCAACTTTGTCATACCAGTAAACCAGCCTATACTCAGTAATTATTTGCAAAACCCATGGCCTCATCGGAATCACTAGTGTTATTCACCATATCAGATAATCAGAAACTTCATTACCTCAAAATACACTCAATTACCTGTTCAATTTGCGCTGTATGCTCAGAGATACGGTTGAAAATGTGAATACGTTTTCAATTGCTAGTTGATTACGGAACTATACTGCGAACAAAAATCGGTCGTTTCTGAAGGGAGAAGTTAAAAAAGGATGCTATACTTACGAGGGAATATGTAGAATCAATAGGAAACACTGAATCCTAGTCATGTCATGATGCGCCGGACGCGTTACGTCGGAAGATTGATTAGTGGACGTTGAATTGAATAAATCAGGACCAAAATACATAGATCAACAACATCATAACATTAATAATAGTCCAATTTGATAAAGGATGAGATTGTCTCGCAGAATGAAAACATGCATGAGTGCTATAATGCCCATGATCATATTGCAGCAATCAATCTGGGACTATTGATTTCAATGGTTAATCAACGTAACCTACCATAGTGGAGAAATAACTGGTAGGTAGACAAGTTCGAAACCATCCACCTCGTAACTTTACTAGGCACGATATTAGTAATTCGCCGGCTGAATAGTAAACGAACTCCATGTTAGTCTAGGACCATGTCAAAAAACTTGGAAACTGAACTTACGAATATTGCAAGGGAACGAACCTCGCACAGCAAATGTTAGTTTCGAGATAATCTGTATAAACCTTAGTTTACGAATGAAATAGACCGAAGTAATGACATACTGCTCTTGATACCATACAGATTTCCAAACTGTAGTCTTTGGTGTCTCAACCCTAGAACCACAAGTTGAGAGCGAGCGCTGTATCGACATAATGCTGGAAGTAGATATTGGAAACAATAGATACACTCACTTGGGAACGAATACACTTGCATTGTAGAGTTGATGCTTACATCGAATCAAGCTAATGTCGTTTTCACCAACAACACACTCATCATTAGCCTAGTGAGATACAAGTAGGTGCCGTGCATATTCAGGAAGAATCCTATTAGCTAAACGACGAGGAAACAGATAAATTACAAGTTTGGAAAATTGCTTTACGTATATTAGATTTATATCACATACCGATATTGATAATAGCAATTCACATCAATAATATTAGAATTACAACGCTTTTAAGGTGTTTACATATGGTAAAGTACAATATTTCATTTCATCCACTTGAATAGTATGATTAAGATAGAAGATCCTGTGAAATTAGAAACTTCTCAGTGTAGAAAATAAGCTCGAAAACACATACACAAACACTAAAGGACAAAAAGATGAAGGCGCAATGAAAGTGATTTAAAAAAAAGACACTAAGTTAAGTTTTACAAGATTGCATGTATATTCAAGGAAATTGACATGTCTTTGTAAAAATCCAACTTTGAAAAAGACAAATGAGTGATTTTGTGAACAAAAAAATATGAGTTCATTTATTTTTTTATAAATGATGAATGAATATAGCCGGAATTGAACCGAAAGCGAAGGCATTAGAAGGGTAGAGGTATAAATACCGGACTAGGATGTAAACGAGATTTATATAAGGTGGATTTCTTTACTCAGGGGATGCTGTTGTGGAAAATTTAGAAATGAAGTTAAAAGAACTGATATAACAGAGACTGAAAACAATTTTGACAGTAAAATTATTAATGGTAATGAAATGAAACAAAATAACACTTAGTTTGTGATTTATGTAGCTGCCAAAGTTGTAGCACCTTGTGGGGTAGTGTAAATTGTTCTGATTTGCCGATCATTTCCCGATATCGAATGCCCTTCAGGATTCATTCGAATTAAATGGGCACCGTTGATTTCAACTTTGAAAGCTCTTGATACACAGGAATCGACAGAAAAAAGTTGTTCAGAATTGAAATTCTCACTAACTGTAGGTGTTGAAACGTAGATGGGTTCTAAGGGTGCATCATTTACAGCTGTAGTCAATGTTGCAACTGGTTGTTCATGAACCTTGAGTGGAAAGAAATGAAAATAATTAGAAATATTGAGCATCAAGTCATACAAACCTTATGATTTACACTTAATTACTGTAATAAACAAATCACTTCTCGCTTGAAATATTTTGATTTGAAAAAGAATAATTGTTAAACAATCCAATAAAGTTGAACATAAAAAAACTAATACCCTGTGACGGATGACTATGCTTTAACAAGCATCTAATCCATGTTCGATACGACTATGAAACATAATATTAATTCCAGTTATTTAAGTATGAGGACAACCATTCCATATGCAATAACTGCAACAACATTGTACAATTAGAATAATAAACAAGTGTTTAGTCGATTTAATGATTGGTAAAAATGTATTGATTAACTAGCGGTTAGAAATCAGTGTAACTCCACTGCCTACGCAAAATACTTCGGATCCTTTGACTAGATACTATCAGCAACAACCTACTGTGAGAGAACAAACCGAATTTCAGAAGAGGAGGAAATCAGGAAGAAGCACTGAAAGTGGACAGGACACATATTGAGGATAGCACCCAACTGTGCCGCAAGGCAAGTAGTTATTTCGAATCCTGAAGGCCAACGGAAGAAAAGAGAAAGACCAAAGAACACACTACATCGAGAAATGGAGACAGATATGAGAAGAATGAACAACAATTGGAGAGAACTAGAAAGGAAGGCTGACGACAGAGTGGGGTTGGAAAATGCTGATCGACGGCCTATGCTTTATTGGGAGTAACAGGCGCAAGTAAGTAGAAATCAGTTACTGGTAGGAGGAAAAAAACATGACAATAAACAAAAACTTGGTTTGACATATTTATTGCAGAATTTAAGAAAATGTGAATTTTCACTCTATAAATTGTAACGTGTACCTGTCTAACTGAAACAAAATAAAATTTGGTGAGTATTGTGTGTGTACGAGAAGCGCTACAGAAAGTTGGTTAAAAAGTCAGATGTTTTTTCATTAGTCACAAGGTACTTGACGCTTAGTGTGGTGTATAGGAATCTATAAGTGATCACTGACACAATTTCATCAGTTCATGTGAGATTTCGTGAAAGAAATTTAGATACAAAATAGATATATATATCGAATTAAACAGTAAAAGTATAAATATATATGGGACAATATACAATAAAGATTGAGATATTTGTATAGTTATATCAACAACTTTTCCTTATTCCGATTCTAGGGTAGATGAGACTATTAATTATGGACGACCTTTGAGAGACGCCAGACTGACCTTGAGTGTCCACCTAATAACCAGTTCCAAATGAGGATTATAAACCTATGTGAAGAATTAAAATTATGACATCAGTTATAATGTCAAAACTCTATTTATTCGAATGAGTGAATTTTGCGTCAAAATCCGAAACCTGTTATCTTATAAGTGATTGTTTATTTCATAAACTACAGTCTCTCCCTAGGATACTTACATAATGAAATACAAAATCTCATGTATTTATAAATTTGCCACTGCATATAACAAACAAGACCAAAGAACACATCACGCCGGGAAATGGAGATAGACATGAGAAAAATGAACAAAAATTGGATGGAATTAGAAAAGAAGGCCCAGGACACAGTGGATTGTAGAATACTGATCGGCGGCCTATGCTCCATAAAAAGTAACAGGCGTAAGTAAGTAATTTAACAAAGATATTGGACTGGAAAACTGAATAATTTCTTGAAATATTTAGTAACAATTACTCCTGAAGAATAGAATATTCATTAACTGATTGGATTTAATTTACTAATAGGTAGAACTATCAAGACAGTTCTATTGTACGGAGCTGAAACTAGGAGAACTAATATAATAATCAAGAAGGTAAATAAATAGTTGTCTACGCAAGATTTTCAGCATCCGTTAGCCAGATACCATCAGCAACACAATTCTATGGGGGAGAACAAACCAACATCAAACCGAAGAGGAAATTAGGAAAAGACAATGGAAATGAATAAGACATACATTACACAAATCATCAAACTGCATCACCAGGCAAACCCTAACTTGGAATCCTGAAGGGAAGCGGAAAAGAAGGCCGAAGAACATATTACGTCGTGAAATAGAAGCAAATATGAAAAGGATGAATAAGAACTGGAAGGAACTGGGAAGGATGGTTCAGGACAGGGTTAGATGGAGAGTGCTGGTGATCCTCAACGAGGAGTAACAGGCGTAAGTTATTAAAATTTATAGGCATAAGTATCAAGTTCATTTTTCTGAAATTAAATCATGAACATTTTAAATTAAAAATGATGGAGTGTTTAAATTTCTAAATGTCAGCCAGTCATAAACAGTTTTTAATCTATAGTCATTTGCATTAGTTTAAGGGGTCACAGTTTGCACCAGTACAGTCAGAAGAAATTACCAATAACAAAAAGACAATGATATAATATAATTAACGGTGAGAATAACATATGAATACTAAGTTCAACATTTATAAGTTAATAAATAATGAATAAAAATGATTTGGAACCAAACCAACTTAACAATTTAAACATACATTAGAATTACTTCACGACCTTTTAAACACAGACTAATGATTTTAGATTTGTACGATCATAATCTACCACAGTCAACATACTATTATAATAACCAGCATAGCACCCCATGGTAAGCGGCGGTTAGGTTTATGTGACGCTTCATTTCTTTAAACACACAGACAATGGTATAAGGAGGTACCAAATATATATGCACCATACTCCATCATTCGGTTTGTAAGAGGGCGCCCTATCCCAACCAAGTGGTTTTCTTTGGGGGCCACATCCCGAGTGTTTGACCTAAAGGTCCAATCCACAAGGTAGTGGAGTAACATCACAAGATGCAGTCCCATGGCAGTCAGTGACCGACAATAGGTTACTACGCCGTTTGTTCCATCAGGATCCTAGGCCCTACGTGCACCATTGGTTTGATATCAGGGTTTTCAAACTCCCTTACGTGGGTTCTTCATACCTATCAACTCGGTTAAGGCGTCGGAAATTCATTTTCGTCCTCATAATTTCGTAAACAACATCCCCGCCGCGAGAAGGCAGTGACTGCATACACGTGGCCATGTGAGAGAATTTTAAAAGAGAGAGAGAGAGCTGACTCTCCCCCACCCTTGACTGTATCAGGGCATTTGGGTGCCAGAAGCGTGTTTATTACATTGCACCTTTGAAGTGCAAAGTACTTTTACAAAACTGGCAGGACCTTGATTATGCACTCACCCTGGATAGTGAGCACATAGAAACAGTCGATCGGTTCATGTATCTGGGCAGCTGCGTAAGTGTTGTTGGTGGCGTGAGTGATGAGACCAATTCATGTATAATGAAAGCCAGAACGGTTTTGTTTATCTAGGCCACCTTTGGTCGCTTCGTGATGTTATTCTGGTTGTAAAAGTTCGTATCGACAACGCGTCGGTTTTGCTATATACCTGTGAAACCTGGCCTCTGAGTTGAGGATTATCGTTGTCCGAAGGATTATTGATATCTAGTGGCAAAACCATGTTAGTAATGCAGAGGTTCGGCATCGTGTGTTCAGGCACAGTGACGATAATTTAATTGGTATGTCTTGAAACATCGATTTCAGTGTTCAAATAAATAAATAAAAAATAAACTTATGTAACACATGTCCAGTTGATTCAATGAAGGTTTAAAGTCTGACTGGGAGATTTACTACATATATCTGTTGCTTTGAATTTCGACAACACAAAAAGCATTAAAACTTACTGTCTGATCAACCATACGAGGGTTGCTGATTAAAACATATTGTTTTCCGTCTGCGGAACCTCGAACAACAGCATATCGATAAGGAGTTGCAGTATTAATTGTTGTATCTATAATAAAACATATGTATCTTAAGATTTATTAATCTAAAAATGAGTTTCACAAATAATAGAACGGGCACATCAGTGCTACAGAAAAATCGTGTTTTCCCACAAAAATCGTTGGCTGGTTCAATTATTATGAGCAACAGCTTATAATTAGTATTACAACAACAACCCAATAAGAGCAGAGGATAAACATCCATCATCCTCTATTGCTAAACATATAATTTAAACAGGTCACAAGATTGATCTAAATTCAGCTTTTGTAGTGTTGTATAAAAGTGTAAAAGGGCGTATACTAAGGTATATTGAAGCCTTAGGCATACGAAAATTCAAACCCCCTTTGTGTGTTCAAAAACAGTTTGTTCTTACCTTAAACCTACCCTGGTAATATTGATTTATTATCCAGAGTGATTGGGTTTGCTTTGTGTTCACATTATTATTATTACTCTTATCATTATCCTTATCTCCTATTACCCCGTTTCCTGTCTAGTTGACCTTTTATTTTTATATATAAATGTTCTTAACAAGTGTATGTGTTACCATATTGTTCGAAATGTATTGCGCTAATATATCACATAGTTCTGATAATCTTCGTCTTCAAGTTACATTATCGGAACATAAATGTTGATTAATAAAGAGGAACTTGCGTGATCGTTATCCTAGAAGTGTCCTTATAACATGGCTTTCACATTGTTAAATAATAGTGACTAGATAAAAGATGTCAACTTAAAAACCTATCAGTCTAACAAATTCTGCAACTTCATGAAAAGGATTTTTCTGAAAACCTAATTCGCTGATCAACAAGATAAATAATGTCAGTCAGTCAGTCAGCTACAACGTAGAACCATGCACTTATGTGCATCGGTCCAGGTTGCCATACCGCATCAGCACAACAAGATGAACACCGGATTCATAACAGTGGTTAGGTAAAAGGTGGTAATATATAAGAGAAAGATTGCATATAGAGATATAGTACAAGAAGAAAGAATTGGTTAGTAGAAAGAAAGATATGAAGCGCTTTTAATCTCTTAGTTTAAGGGAAGAAACCGAGTGTATACACCGACGCCATTGTGATCGATTCTGAGCCATGTCACCAAGAGTCTCCAACCATTGGTTACGATAGTCACGCGGACCCCAACCAAGTAGTCTGCATCTACCAACATGGCTCAGACTAGAAGTTAGTGACTTCAAGCACTGATGCCACGTTTTGGTTTGGCAAGTAGTTGAACAATTACAACAGACTACTGTCTCGGTGAAGGCAAACAGTACTGATAAGTTGTGTTATGGAAGAGCGAATATCGAAGTGCAACTGTTTGGACTAATTCAAGGATTGCCATTGTTTATATTTTTACTGTATGATTAGTAGGTAACTGTATTATTGTATTTCTATATTCTCTTTATTGTAAGCCGTCAGTGGACCTATTACCTATTGTTATGCATTTCACCATTTCTTAATTATTGCTAAATACTTATGAACTATTTGCTTCGCTCTCAGCCACTTATGACATCATATATAAAGCATGATTTCATATTTGGGATACGTTGTGGTTTGATAGTTCAAGTATATATGATAACAGTGTTCGAGATAGGAGCTGGGTGGTTGAAATATAACAGTAGAGGCTTAGCTGTTGTCTTTTATCATTCGAACAAAATGCTAGGGCATTGGCGGGGCAATAGGAGTTAAGCTTACGCATTATTGGTCAAAGCTAAGGACGTTAGGCTATAAACGGGTATACACGGGGTAGATAAATTATGATCCCAGTTCTGAATAGAGAATCTAGCAATTCATATCGGTTAACGTATTAGATATAACAAATAATTTCACTAACAGTTAGTGATCAATGTGTTCCACCGCTCCACATGATATAATCCAATGACTCATGCTCCTGCATATAACTGAGAACTGAATGAATGTCGGTATACAGATATTTATCCCGAAAACATAATTGATTTAACTAGTATGGTGAGACAATTTTCGTTACGTGGATTTTTTCTATAATATACAGCTTATCGGCAGAGTTTGGCTATTGTGAAATATAAAATGAAATTCATGACCAGGTCAACAGTTAGATTCAACACCGATACAGCTGAAAGGTAAGTCGGAGCTGTGGTAAGTCAATTATTTGTTTAGCTAAGTTCATCTCATATTTTATTGTCAGGGTCAGTGAGGTCACCTATAAGCGTTAATAATGTTTACATTTAGAGTTTTAACTTCTACTCTTTCTACTTAGTTGGTTAGGGTTAAGTGTCGTGAGTGTGGATAGTAAAGATAAGCATTTGTTTAGGAACATTTTTCCAAATAGAAACAATACACGCAACATACTTGTTGGCGCTGGACTCTGGTGATGAGTTGTCCCTGAATTCTGAGTGGTATTTGACACTGTATTATTAGGAGTATGTGATGCGTTTCTATTGTAAGCAATAAGACGCTTACCAAATAAACGATCACTAGCAGTTTGATTAGGATTTAAACGATCTGAAGGAGTTGATGTTGTTGTAGTAGTAACTAGTTGTAATAACTTAGTAGATGTGTTGGTCAGATTCCCAGAAGATCCAGACTCTTCCGTAGTTATGGAATTGATAGGTTTTTGTAACTGTCCAGTACTGCCAGGATTAAATACATTAATAGTACGACTAGAGGATGTTGACAGATCAACATCATTATCGGACGTTTCGAAAACTGAAAATTACGATAATAACATGGGAATTTAAGAAAAAGGCACCATAAACACTGGAAATTATCATTTGCTAAAATTTTGTGATTAAACTCAAAACCATTATTGTGGAAAGTCATTGTATCATTATTTCACTTACCGTTGAAGAACTGATAGCTAGTCAATTTTTGCTTTATATGATAGATATTACATATTACGAGGACTGAAGAATGATCCTAAAAACCATTCGGATGATACTTAGACCGTGAGCAGCAGTCCAATCGAGGACCTCTGTTTCGTCCTATTTGAGGATTGTCAGCTGGATGTAGATGTTCATACTGCAGATTCCCAAATATAAAGAAACTTATGTCCTGGATTCCTCAGTTAATCAAAATCTATTTGTTTCAAATAACTTATGACATCATAGGTACATCAAAATAATCAGAGCAGAACCCACATATGCCAACAAAAATGATTAAAACTCAGTCCTAAATACTTACGAAAGAATAACCCAAACCCAAAGTAATTACTTCATATTATTTATGAATCGGTATAATATTTTAATCCAGTTGTTATAGAATGTTAACTCCGCCTGTAGCTCTTATAGGGTTACTGCCGGTCCCAAGCCCGGGTAAAGGAGGAGGGTTGGGCATGGGGTTAGCGTCCCCATCCCGTAGAAAACTAACTCGCTAAAAAAACGCTAACCAGAAAAAATAATCCAAACCATTTAAACTCTGCCCTGGGAGTTAGAAGGTCTTCATTTAGAAGAATTATGACGCTTCATGGTGAAAGCCGAGTTCCTTCGGAAGCCAAGAGGCCGATGCCCCTTCTAACAACCAGAGCAAAAATTTTTATAGGTACATGGAACGTTCGAACAATGTGGGTAACCGGAAAGACCAGTCAAATAGCAATGGAAATGAGGAGATACAACTTAGCAGTACTGGGAATCAGCGAAACCCACTGGACCCAAGCTGGACAGAAAAGGCTAGCTACGGGAGAGATGCTGCTATACTCCGGTCACGAAGAGGACAATGCTCCACACACTCAGGGAGTCGCTCTTATGCTGTCCAAATTAGCACGAAATGCACTTGTAGGCTGGGAATCCCACGGATCCAGAATCATCAAAGCATCATTCAAAACAAAGAAGGAGGGGATCTTAATGAATATTATCCAATGTTATGCACCCACAAATGATAGCAACGACGACATTAAAGATCAGTTCTACGAGCGGCTGCAGTCAGTTATTGAGAAATGCCCAAGGAAGGACCTAACTATTCTGATGGGAGATCTAAATGCCAAAGTCGGAATAGACAACACCGGATATGAAGATATTATGGGACGACATGGACTGGGAGAAAGAAACGAAAATGGAGAAAGATTTGCAAATCTATGTGCATTCAACAAATTGGTCATAGGAGGCACAATATTTCCACACAAGCGTATACACAAGGCTACATGGATCTCACCGGACCACACTACAGAGAACCAAATAGATCATATTTGCATCAACAAAAAATTCAGAAGGACAATGGAAGATGTGAGAACTAGGAGAGGTGCTGACGTAGCTTCAGATCATCACCTAGTTGTGGCCAATTTAAAACTGAAGCTAAAAAAGAACTGGACAAGTGGACAAACAGCGATACAAAGGTTCAATACAGCCTTCCTTCGAGATACTGACAAACTCAATGAATTCAAGATAGCTCTCAACAACAGGTTCCAAGCCTTACAAGATCTACTGAAAGAAGAAGAAACTAGTATGGAGGACAACTGGAAAGGCATCAAGGAAGCATTGACTTCAACGTGTCAAGAGGTTCTGGGTCTAAAGAAATACCATCATAAGGAATGGATCTCTACAGAAACACTGGACAAGATCAAAGAAAGGAAGAACAAGAAGGCAGCAATAAACAACAGCCGAACACGAGCAGAGAAAGTCCAAGCACAAGCTGAATACATAGAAGCAAACAAACAAGTGAAGAGGAGCATTAGAGCCGACAAGAAGAAATATGTGGAAGAACTAGCAACGACGGCAGAAAAAGCTGCTAGAGAAGGAAATATGAAACAGCTTTACGATACAACGAAGAAACTAGCAGGGAAATACAGTAAACCAGAGAGACCGGTCAAAGACAAAGAAGGCAAGCCAATCACCGAAATTCAACAACAGCGGAACAGATGGGTAGAATACTTCGAAGAACTCCTGAATAGGCCGGCTCCAATGAATCCACCGGACATCGAAGCGGCACACACAGATCTTCCCATAGACGTCAACCCACCAACGAAGGAAGAAATCAGAATGGCCGTCAGACAAATCAAGAACGGGAAAGCAGCGGGTCCGGACAACATACCAGCTGAAGCACTGAAGTCAGACATCGAAGCAACTACAAACATGCTTTATCTTCTATTCAAAAAGATTTGGGAAGAGGAACAAGTGCCGATGGACTGGAAAGAAGGGCACCTCGTCAAGATTCCAAAGAAAGGAGATCTGAGCAAATGTGAAAACTATAGAGGCATTACACTGCTGTCAATACCAGGGAAGGTCTTCAACAGAGTGTTGCTGAACCGAATGAAAGATGCAGTAGACGCCCAACTTCGAGATCAACAAGCTGGATTCCGTAAGGATCGATCATGCACAGACCAAATTGCAACACTACGGATCATCGTCGAACAATCAGTTGAGTGGAACTCATCACTATACATCAATTTCATTGATTATGAAAAAGCATTTGACAGTGTGGATAGGAGGACGTTATGGAAACTTCTTCGACACTACGGAGTTCCTGAGAAGATTGTCAACATTATCCGGAACTCATACGACGGACTACAGTGCAAAGTCGTGCATGGAGGACAGCTGACAGATGCATTCCAAGTAAGGACCGGAGTCAGACAAGGCTGTTTACTCTCTCCCTTCCTCTTTCTTCTGGTGGTCGACTGGATTATGAAGACCTCGACATCTGAAGGAAAACACGGAATTCAATGGACAGCTCAGAATCAATTAGACGATTTGGACTTCGCAGATGACCTAGCCCTCCTATCACGTACACATGAACAGATGCAGATGAAGACAGCCAGTGTAGCAGCAGTCTCTGCATCAGTAGGCCTCAGCATACACAAAGGGAAAACCAAAGTCCTCAAATTCAAAGCGGAAAACAACAACCCAATCACTCTTGATGGTGAAACTCTGGAAAATGTAGAGTCCTTCACATACCTGGGAAGCATCATCGATGAACAAGGAGGTTCAGATGCAGACGTAAAGGCAAGGATTGGCAAAGCAAGGACAGCATTCCTACAGTTAAAGAACATATGGAACTCAAAACAACTTTCAACCAATATCAAAGTGAGAATCTTCAATACCAACGTCAAGGCAGTTCTACTGTATGGAGCTGAAACTTGGAGAACTACAACAACAACCATCAAGAAGGTACAAGTATTTATAAATAGTTGTCTACGCAAGATACTCAACATCCATTGGCCGGATACCATCAGCAATAGCCTTCTGTGGGAGAGAACAAACCAACTTCCAGCTGAAGAAGAAATTAGGAAAAGACGATGGAAATGGATAGGACATACATTACGCAAATCTTCAAACTGCATCACGAGACAAGCCCTAACTTGGAATCCTGAAGGGAAGCGAACAAGAGGAAGGCCAAAGAACACATTGCGTCGGATAATAGAAGCAGATATGAAAACGATGAATTACAACTGGACGCAGCTAGAAAGGATTGCCCAGGACAGGGTTGGATGGAGAATGCTGGTGAGCGGCCTATGCTCCTTCACGAGGAGTAACAGGCGTAAGTAAGTAAGTGTTATAGAATGTTGGGTGGGAAGTGTTTTGTCATGGATAATAATTCGTGTATGACCAAGCAACCTCAATTAGTATATGCTTAACGCCAATCAATTGACTAATTTTATTTCCTTGTTGAACACTTTGCACCTAACCTAAACACTACTATTAAGTTGGTAATTCCAATACACGTGACCCATGAGTCAAGTAAAGCAGTGGTCGACTATAATCAAAACAATTTCCGCTCCAAATAAAAGTAAGAAGTGTTTATTGACCACTTATCATCTTGATAAATGAGGTATTAGATATATACTTAATTCATTGTTTGAAAAAACTACTAGGCCTTACCTGTTGGTCGTGAAGCGACCAGTGAATTGGAAGTTGTCGAGTTGACAGTTCCTAGTGTTCGCTTTAAAATAGTAGGACGTCGTCGAGAAGAAACTGAACCAAGAGTAGAATGAGGAACTGACATGACAGGCTTCGGTACAGGAGTTGTGACTGAACGTGTTGTATTTGGCGCCATAAAAACACGAGAGATGATGGGTTGTTGAACGACCGGAACTAGAAAAGAAAACAGAAGACTATCACAAATCAAATACACTAATGATCACTATGCTAATATGACCATGTTAAAACACATAAAATCTGAATATTCGTAAAACAACCTAAAGCATCTGAACTAACTAAAGGTTTTAAAGGAAAACTCATTTATAGGTTTTAAAAATAGACCAGACGTTTCTCTATTTGGTATTGTAACTTAAATTGGCAATTCTTATGATGGAAAAAAACTTTTGTTCCTTACTCTGTGAAATATAGTTGACATCGATGAAATTTTACTGGAACTAACAGTTATTATATGTAATGTGTTATCTTGAATTATAGAGAGTATACCATTACAATTGTCGTATGTAATCATTTCTTTCTAGGGAAATTTATAACATTGAGATTATGGAAATTGAATAACTAGATATTATCGTTTGATCGATGCATGACAGACGGGCATTTGTTTTCTTATTACACTCTATTGGATCAACACTAATATCTCTGTTATAACTGTATTTTAAAAATCTAGTTTGGTTATGTAAGTACTTCTATGGAGCACAACAATAAAATATATTCTTAGATTAAAATTATCTAGATTATAAAATCGTTTCATATTTTTCGATGTTTGTAGAGTTTGGGATCTAGCTTTATCAACCATTTAAGACAAGTTATGCATTCTGATGCAGTAATTAGATATTAATTCATATACTAGGTACTATATGTAGTTCGACAGATGGGGATTATTAAATTATATCCTTGTGAAGAGATGAACACTATTGATGAATAGAAACAAGTAATTAGTGATAGTGAACAGGTAAACAATATTCTGTCGTTATAATATTTAACAGTATAAAAGTTTCGGAGTGCATTAATGTCAAAAAAGAAGTTCAGAGATACTGGATTTACATTATATTAATCTATTATAATCTATATGATTAGGAAATAGATTCTACTTATATGGAAGAGTTTGGGAATAATCTAAAAACTTGATTGTTCAATAATACATAATTTTTGACACAGCACTTTCGCCTAGTGATTTGGTGGGACTATAATTTATGGACGACGTTAGACTGAATTCGAGAGTATTCACTTAATAACTAGGACCAAATAAGGGTTATAAACCACTATGAGGAACTAGAATTATGATTTACAGTTGATGATTAATGTTAGGAATTAGATTTAGGATTTTCATCACGAACTGACACCAACTATAATGCCAAAACTCTATTTAGCTAAGTGGGTGATTTCGCGTTATTCCAAATCTGATTGGTCTGTCCATAAATTATAGTCTCGCCAGTAATTTCTCACTAATTATATATAGAAAAGGTAGGGATTTTATTTAATTGCTTAATTTCAGATATTTGGTTATTATACGAATCCATGTTTATTATCAATTTACCATTTAATGAAATTGAAGATAGTTGGTATTTCATTAATCATTAAAAAAGGAGACTAAGAGATTCTTTGCACATTGATGTAACAGTATTTGACTGTTTTGCTGAACTAAATAGAAGATTCAGAGAGTGCTCAATGTCGAAACCTGTAGAATGGGCTTCTCAAGGATTAAACATGCTTCGACAAAATCGTGACAACACGGATTATTGTTGGACAATCAAAACTTCATCACTATACACCACATTCTTTGATTATGAGGAAGGATTTGATAGCGTGGATAGGCAAACTGTGAAATTCACTTCGGCCATATGAAGCACTTGAGAGAATCGTCCTCATCATATGGTGCATAAAAATATTCTATTGATAGAGAATTGTAACGAATTAAATATTGGAAAACATAAGAAACTATATAATATATAGTTCACAATTACCTGGGCGTGTAGTAGACTGAGTAAGAAGTGATGGCAGTAAGCCTGACGAAACTGTTGTATTTCCCTTTGATGCATTCGGACTATCAATACAAACTGGAACTTGATTAACAGAACTAATGGATGTCAATGTTAGAGGTGATCCAGAAGACAAAATTTGATGTGAATGATCGCTGATTGAGTGAATTTCTAATTCCGAATTGTTCACAACATAACTGTTTTCTAAGGGTTGATTAGAGTCGCCAAGCGATTGTGAATTGTTACCAGACAAAACAGAGCACATTCCAGATGTTAACACATCTCCATCATGGCCAAGATCTAAGTCTGATAACGACCTGGTATATACAGTATTTGTAACCACCGATGGTGATGTGAAGACAAATGGGCTACAATTAATAAACACAAGTTGAATTATCAGATGATGATTACATGATATCCTAATAATCGCAGTGATCGAAATATTAAACTTACTTATTATCAGAACATGTGACTAACATAGTCGGTGATGCATTACTAGGTGCTGCGGTTGTAGAGGTATGAGTGGTTTTTGTTCTCAGCACTTGCATTGGTCTAACAGGAGATTTTCGTCGACTGCTACCTGAAGATGAATTGCAGGATAACATTGCTCCAGTATCTGTCAATGTAGAGACTAATACGCCATCAGAACTGGCAGCAGTGTTTGAGCCCGTAATGATGGAAAGTTCTGGAGCAAGTAAATCTTCCTCCAGTTCCTCTTGAGACTGTTGAACTCGTCTATTAACGAGTCCATGTGGTTCTGCAGACTCCAGATCATCTTCATGTATAGCTGTTTTATCTAAATTGGTTCTTAAATGTGCGAATTGATCAACATTCGAACTAATGCAAAAATCAAGAATATTAGTGGTGTGTCGATCAATAGGAGGAGAAATCTCATCAGAACGAAATATAGTTTGCCGTAAAAATGTATTGGTAGGTTCTGCAAAAAACAAAGCAAACATTATCTTAAAAACGTAATAAAAGTTCACTGAAGTGACATTTGAAATAGCAGTAATTCATTTGACTTAAAGTTTTAAAGCTCTTAAAGTTTACTTAACATCGCCTGTAGCCCTTTTGGGGTTACTGTCGGTCTCAAGACCGAGTAAAGTAGGGGGGTTTGGTATGAGGTCAATAACAACATCCCGTAGAAAACAATCTCGCTAAAACACATCAACTAGAATAAACAAATTAAACCATTAAAACTGCCCGGGGAGTTGAAGGGAGAATTATGTCGCGTTATGCCGAAAGTCGAGATTCTTCGGAATTCGCGAGGCCGATGCCCCTTCTAAAAACAAGAGCAACAATTAATATATGTACATCGAATGTTTGGACAGTGCGGGAGGCTGGGAGAACCAGTCAAATAGTTACAGAAATGATTAAATACAATTTTGTAGTCCTCAAAACAAGTGAAACACGGTAGACAGAAAATATTAGATTCGGGAGAGATGCTGTTATATTCTGATTATAAAGAAAATGCTTCGCGCAAGCAAGCAGTTTCACAGATGATGTCCAAAGAAGCACGTAAATCACTTATACGGAATTTCATGGATCCAGAATCATCAAAGCATTATTCAAAAAAAGAAGGAGGGGATCACAATGGATGTCACAGAATGTTATGTACCCACCAATGATAGTAATAAAGATGATAAAGATCAGTTCTGAGAGGCTGCGATCGATCATAAGTAAGTGCTCAGGAAAGGACCTGAACATCCTGGGAGATCTAAACACCAAAGTCGGAACGTAAAACACAAGATATGGAGATATCATGGAACGAGATGGACTGAATGAGAGAAAGGAACTAGAATGGTGACATTTACAAATTTATGTGGTTATAGGTGGCATTATATATTCCCCACAAACCATACGCAGCTAAGTTACATGGGTCTCGCATACACTACACAGAATCGGATCGATTATATTTGTATCAGTAAAAAATTTAAAAAGTCAATGGAAGACGTGAGAACCAGAAGGAGAGCTAACATAACTTTAGATCACCATCTACCTGGCAGTTGCCAAGATAAAAGTGAAGCTAAAGAAACATTAAACAAGTGAGGAAAGTGCACTAAGGAGATTTAATACACCCATCCTTCGATATGCTAACAATCAATGAATTTAAGATAGCTTTCAACAACAGGTACCAAACCCTACAAGATCTACTAACAGAAGGAGAAACTAATATGGAGCACAACTGGAAAAGAATAAGAGAAGCACTAACTTCAACGTGTCAGGAGGTTATGGACTGCAAGAAGCATCATCAATCATAAAAAATGGATCGCTATGGAAACCCTGAACAAGATTCAAGAAAGGCAGAACAAGATAGCAATTAACAACTACCGAACAAGAGTAGTAAGCTTTCTATGGGTGGCACCAACTAGAAATCTCAAGGCATTACACAATTGCTATGAGTATAATACGGATTGATCAAAACTGATAAACCGTCGAGTATACACTTGGTGTGCTACTAAGCAGGAGCGTAGGTACAAGACTGCCCCTCCCGCTGTTCCAAGTTTGCTGTCTTCGTGAGACAAAGACGTTACGGATATTGGCAGCTCCTGGTCTGTAATTCGAGATATCGATATTTCAGATATTACTATCAAATGAACATTATTAGAACTACTTAGTTCAAGTAGCTCACCCATTTTGTTTGATAAACTTACGTACGTTCGTACGTCGGGAGTTAATGCATTCGATTCAAAATACATCCGTCTCCTCGTCCTGTTCGGCTGTACGAGCATTATGTGAATGATCAGAAAACCTAGATACACAAGATTTTTTGAATATGTACCCTCTGCACCTTCCGCATTTTTGTCTTCGATAGCAGACAAGTGTAATAGTCGGTCACAATTTACCTTCGTGCCTAATCATTGCAGCATGTGGTATGTCCGGACGGGTGTGGGTTGCAGTTGGTAGCTGATAGCACGAAAACCTTTATAAGTGGTAGCTCCATTGAGTAGGAACAGAAGGTTAACTTCATTACCCAGCACCTAGGATATTCATCCTTCTTGGCTAATCATACAGTTTTGAGGAACTAATCCACCCAACAAGGTATGACAGAAGCCAATAATTCGGACGCAACCGGAAAAAGACTTATCCCTCGATAGTTGCTGCATAAGTGACATGAACCCTTCTTAAAGATGAAAAAAATTATCGATTCATTCCATGATGCTGGAACACTCCGTAATTGCCAGATCTTTGCAGAGAGCTCAATGCCTTAACCCGAAGGTCTCCATTACTCTTAAAACAAGCCGGAAGTGTCACTTGGACCTGATGAATTGTGAAGCTCTGAGAGTTGGAGTTCCTTGCGGAACTCTACCTGATTGGGTGGATTAATCGTCAACGGCCATGGAAGACAGGACAGTCTGATCGATGTCGCCAGAGCAGCAGACCAGCTGAACTGTTCCTCGATAAACTCGATCCAACGTTCAAGACGTCTGTAGATGTTGTTGGTTGGCATCCCACTAGCTTATTTCACTCACATAATTCTTTCTGCCAGTGCCCCGGATAGGTTGAAGGAGCTCACGAGAGTTACAAGAGTATTAGCTCCCTGGAGTAGACCGACATGCTCCAATGAGCTGTAAGGAGCCTGTAAAAACCTAGTGTTTATAACCAGGACGTTTCGCCAAAGTTATAAGCGACTTTACTTGTCACATTTATGGTGCCATGCAACTGCAGTCAGTGCTCATCTACATTTTTCGGTGGGTTGATAACTAGCCTAAAACCTAGCTCGGTTTGATATCTAGTTGCAACAGAAGCCCTAACCATTTTGCTGACATCGATCCATTTATGGAGATGAATTTGTTGGCCACTGAAAAGTAAGATTAGCACAAACAAGGGGATGATCGTATTCCAGATAAGTAATCCAAAAGAAGCAGTAGTCTTGTATATAACCATGTCAGTGGTAGCAGATCGCGATGTGATCAATCTGAGTCAAGGCTTGAAATGCAGATGGAGAACGCCAGATAGCACGACGGTGATGACTGTACAGATAGTTAGCGCTAGTAAGAAACAGTCTATAGACTGCACGAATTTGCAGCAGGCGGTCACCGTCATCTGACCTGCAACGAACAAGTCCCAATTAGTTACCCAAACGACTCCCGTTCCTAGACGCCCAACTCGTATATTCAAGTTTGAGCTAACACTACAGTATTTGTCGAACACGCTTTCGAAAGAACATTTAACTGGTGGTAGAACTCATCCTTGATCGCATACCGATTGCAATCTGTTGAAATAGGCGGGGATAACGAAAGGACATCGTTTATCACAACGGTTCGTCTTCACTTTGATGGAACTTTCTAATTTAACAGCACATAATCGACTGTTAATGGGGACCCAATTGATTGGTGCTGTTCCAGCCTTGGAACTCAAAGCAACACCAACATCAGGAAAACCAGACAAAGATGCTACAAGGTCTCCGGATAAACGCACGTGAAACAACATTTTTAAAGCGGTAGATGGGGAGTGAATTCGCAATACTTGCCTACACCGCAAATGATGCGAGTTGGAAAAGGCCAATCAAGCTTTCAGAATCCGTTCTGAGATTTAGTCAGACACCGAAATCACCAGGGCAGATGAGATTTTCAGGACAGGTGAAGTGGTTAACAGACACAACCTTACTTCGTATGATCAAAACAGGTCAGTAAATATATGTTGATATTCACTAAGTTAACAATCTAAACAACTAACCTTTTTGGTTACAGCTTGGACTGAGTACACGTCTAAGGTTAGAACGATTCTTTAATCTAGATGATTCCAATCTTCCATGATTTTCCACAGTATCCGGGTTCTGACCGTGAATAAGCTGTTCTGGTTTCTGAAGTTCACTGAACATGTCAGAGTAAGTTGATATACACGATGCATCGGGATACTACCAAAAAAAAATGGAAAAGTTAAACGAAATTAATAATCTAAGCATCAAAGCCACATTACCGTAACTGAGATTTAGTCAAACAAGTCACCCAAAACTTCTGTTCCTACACATATCGGAGATGTCACAGGTTGGGAGAAGTCTAGGCCTGCCAAACTGAGACATACCATCAGCTCATAAAGTTGCTGACTGTTGGTCTAAACCGCGCAGAAAGATACACACTACTTGGTTAAAGTTTGTACGATAATCATCAGTGGTTGGCAAAAAATCCATTACCGTGGTCCAGATACATTCATTCCCTGTCCTCCCCAGGATCTTCAGTTTCATTAATACCTCGTGTTTCGATTTCTCGCTTGTATCCTTTCTCTTCAAACCATAAGTTTCTTAACATAATTTATGCTACTATTGTCATTTCGATTTCTTTTCTATCCATCTTTTTAACTTCAACTTATTGTGCTGATGTTGTTAAACATCTTTGACTGAGGTATACTTGTGCTCGGGGTCCTACAATGTTTATAGCCAGTGAAATAGTACAAAAGGTCATGAAATTGTCAGCCCTTCAGGTTGGGAATCAATCTGATAATCCATTAAATGAATCTGAGATGAAGAAACATCATTTTCGAGAAATTAGTTAAAATCCAATCTTAATTGTTATAGTAGTGTTTCAATGTATGATAGTCATATTTGTAACTAAGGTCAGGTTTGCCATGTGTAGTATTTCGGAAATCAATTTTGAATGTTAGGGTGAAAATTATGCGAAATTAGGTAAAAGAAATATAGCTTGAAAGATATGAATGAAATCAAGAAATGAAATAGCACTAATGTATCTGTGATTGTTTTATGACGACACCTAACCTTCCCAGCTATATTTCACGATCATATTGAGAACCCCAATTCAGTCAGTCAGTAACAACGTAGAACTTCGTACGTACGTACATCAGTTCGAGTTGCCACACCACATTAGCACACAGATGTAGTGGCCGATTCGAATCCCGTAGTGGTAGAGGTAATCAGAGTATAAGAAGTAATCGGGAAAATTAGTGTTTGGAGATGTTATTTAAAGAGTATAATACAGGAGAACCCCAATCAGTCTACGCACTAATATAACTGAGATCAGCAGCTAATGGCAATGGTTTACCTAGTACTTAGCTATAAGCCACACGTTGTGTAAGGGCTGGCGGTACTATCTGAATCCTTAAGACGTAAAAAAGGATGATTCAAACTTGCGACTAACTGGTTGTAATGTGAGTAATTTAATCATTAAGCTATCGCTCCGATGAATAATAGCGGCACAGAGTGCACATACATAGCATACAACATCACAAACCACCTTTTTGCCTATATTATCTTTGGGAAGCAGAGGAAATCGAAACGTAGACACTCAGTAACCTGTTTAGAAGTATATCACAGAAGTGAGCTGGTGGTTAAGTGATTAACCTTTAGCCGCTAAGTTCGAGGTTTGAAACCTAGTTCTAACTACTTTTCTGCAGTTTAAAAAAATAAGAACCCTAGTTTTTGCTTATAAACAAAATGAATTGGTATTTGGGACTTCCAAATGACAGTTGGCAATTTTGTCGTGAAATCACTATCATTAGATATCCGTGTCGTGTTTTTAGTAAGTTCAGCAAGATTAGAAAAATATGTACAAAAGGAGTTTGGGTTCGAAAATCTGAAGGCTAGACAAGAACAGCTTTTGTACGGCTATGGAAGTTGCATTTACTATATTCTGATAAAGCTAGCTATAATCAGCATAAAGCCTGACACAAATGTCTCAGAGTTGTCCCGTCACAATATGGGGATATTAAATCCACTAAACAAATATTAAAAGAGAAGAAATAGTAGTAACGACAGAACAGCATGATTCAAGAAAATGAATCCTCCAACTTAAGTCAGTCAGCTACAACGATCTAAGAGAAAGTGAGTGAGTGCATCTGAGTCACTGTGACCAATTTCGAACCATCATCCATTTCTACTTGGTGATCGTTATCATGCAAATTACAACCAGGTAGTCTGCACTTATCAATACGACCCAGGTCGGTAGTACCTTTATTAACCGATCCCGAGTCTTGGTTGGTGGTTGTAGCTTTTTTGACTCCTACTCTAGCAGCAAGGTATGCTAAGATAAGCAGTGGCTAGGTAATTTTAACACCAATCCTAGTTACAGAGCTTAATGGGTGAGTGTACTCAGCAGTCTGCTCTGTGTTACAATGCCCCTTTGGAAATAAGACATTTGTAAGCTGCAGGTTTTCGAACATAGATGCCTTTGAAGCATTGTTTGTATATCGTTCAACAACCGAGTAACCAACACGGTTGGTAGACTTTGTCAAACTCCGGTGTACATAAATACAAGTTCTACGTTGTCTGACTGACGCTGATCGATGCAGATGAAAAACCTTAACGGATAGACTGTTGATTACGCACTCATAGGTTGGAGACACATTTCGCTTAAGCCACGTGACAACCTAGAGAGGTTGATTTCAAAAATAATTACCATATTCTGTTGCATCATGTGTGATATCTTTTGTGGTCAGTTTGCAGACTGATTTCACGCTGTTGGTTTGATGTCAAAAGGTAATTGCCAAATGTTTATTACCAATAAAATAACTATCGGAAACCAATGGCTATGTTCTATGCAAGACACAATTAAACAATGCAGTGGTAAGAAACTTGCCTATCTTTTAAAAAAGTCTAGCACAAGAGGTTTGGTGTTAAATACAAAATATCTTACACAGAAACGTCTTAAAACATAATACGAGACCTAGTAAGGGACAATAAAAATACAAGTATCAAAGCATGTTCGAAAAAGGTTTAACAAAACAGATGCTTACATAGGTCTTAGATGAAAGAATTCCTTCAAGTCCATTACCTTCCCGATCTTCATCGGACGAATAGTACTCTTTATTGTATTTGTCATGTTTGAGATAGTTGATCGTATCTGATTTGTGTTCAGATCGCGATTTTGTTGCCTGTGATAAAACTTTGTTTTTTCTGATGGGTTTCCAACTACTGTCAGTGGAGAGGGGTTGATCAAAAGAATGATGTTCATCAGCTGACTGAGAAGGACTGTACTCATGTTTTGGCTTGAGGCGTCGACCATGTCGACTTTTAACACGAGGAAATAAATCATGATCGCCAGGGATTTGTGAAGAAACACTAAGTTTTGACTTGTGTTTCTTAAGAAGGTTAGCAGAGGAAACAGCCATGAGAGCAGCTGTTGACCGGTCTGTGAAGTGTAGGAACTTTTTCTGGCGGTTACGCTTAGGAGGTTCTACGACATCATACAAAAACCTTTTGTTGATGTAGTTTTCAGCCCCTGAGCGTTTACGCTTCTGTTCGGACAATGCTAGACGGCCGTCACTTATATCAGTGGGCTTTCGCTTTGGATCTGACATGACTCTTGACTTCAGACTGGATCCCAGATTAGAAGCAGCGGAGTTCTTTGGCTTTCTTTCAGAATTACGGTTATCTTTAACAACGGGAACCTTGTCGCTAGGTGTCCTGAAACGACTATGAGACAAAAGTAATACTCACGTGGTTAGGTCCTGATCATTGTCATCGTTCTTCGACTTTGACTTTGCACTGCTGAAACTTGATATAGTTATGTATTATTAGTACCTTATGGACCGGATATGTCTGTCCCTTTTTGTCGTCTTTAATGATCCAGGATTCGGTACAAATTTACGGGAAATCCTACAGGGATTAAAATTTAAAGTGATTTACCTGATATCGTTTCGTTTAGACCGCATCACACTTTTTAAGTCCGAGATGAAGATTTATGCTATATTTGTACTCCACATTATGTAACCGATCCAACAGATTATAGATCTAGCTCAATTGACAACAAATCCCTAATAACGTAGCGCAACAATGCAGATCAAAAAATATGGTGATTTGAGTCCATACAAACAAAATCCAATGAACCATTTGTATTTGTTAAAAGTTATGAAATATTGTCTATAGGACTCACAATAACTTAAGTTTATCAAAAATACGTTTGGTATACTCTTTTTTGTCTGACTTCTAACTTGGAAACTTCGAATCTTGCATGGCGGAATTAACCAACTATTTCTCCCTTGGGATCTGAGTCTTAACGACATGATGACGTCTTGGTGTTCGAAAAGTATGGTCCTTGTTATATCCCTGTAAAGGCTGAAGCGTGATAGTAGCCTTGCTCGCCATTTTTAATTTGGGAGTATAAAAAGTTTCATACCTCTCAGAAACCAAGGGCTCATTCCAACTGTCCAGATGTATATGACAGGGAACTAAGAGTTCACTGATTATTTTAAAGAAACTTGAAGCTGAAGTCAGTTATTAGAAATATAAGGAACCGTTAAGTGGTATTTGAGGCCAACCCTCTCACAACCTACCATAATAAAGTAAACATCAGACCTCCTCTTGTAAGTCACTACAGAAGATACCGCTACTGGCGCCTCGAGTAAGGAATACCACGATTTAGTGGTTCTGACCACATAAAAGTCAGCATCAAATTTTATGATTCATCCTTGTTGGATCTCTTATTAGGAGTACATTCGTAAACAAATTCCCAGAAAAAAAGCTTTATAGGTCTCAGATGCAAAATGGATCGAATAGTTGTGAAAGCACTAGAAGAAGCTTTCGCTTAACGAGATTCCATGTTCAGTAGCAGTGGGTCATCATTGCCTCCAGTTATGGATTTGGCTACATTTTACAAGTAGAAAGAAAATATTAATTGATGTGAAATACTGCCTTGAGGCCTGTAGAATATCTCTAATTTTCCTTTGAAGAACTAATGAAAAGTCGCTTGTACTACTATAAACGACGGAGGATTACGAAAGTTGAATATCCGTAAGGGATAAGGGGTAGGGGTTTTTTGAGCTTTCTGTGTTGTGGCTCTTTTTTGGGGGTATTTCCTTCTAAGGTTTGCGTTATAACTGAGCTTAAGTAGGGATTTTAGGGGACGCCCAAGTGTGTTTGAGAAGCTAGAAATCATGAGCTCACCAATGACGCCGCTATACTTTAACTCGAAATTACCCTCTTAGGTAAGGTATTTATCATAAGGTTTGAATCATAGTTTCTATAATGATCTTGTAGCTCACTTGTGGATACATTCCAGATTATTACCATCCTTTAGGGGTGAGGGAGTAAACACTATATTTCCGAACTCTAAATGGACAGCGAAATCCGACTTAAGGCCTCCTCATGGCATTTCTGGATTCTATGAACAACCTTGCTAGCCAACTTAGGTGGTTCACGGAGACAGGACTAGCCCACCACTCTATTGTAGCCTGGAATACTCTGACCACTATTCCAGGATCACTTAAGCTCATCAGGATGTTTGTGTCACAGCGTAAGACTTTAGATCATAGAGTCCCAAGCCTCCCAGATCATTTCCAACTTGGAGAGGAGGAAATGCTTAAGTTGTAGGCGTAGCTCGCAGCATATCTCAGATGGAATGCTTTACCATTAGAAATGTTAAAAATATGTCCGTTACCATCTGCTCAACCTTGAAGTTACATCAAATCCCCATGGAGCTTTAGTTTCATACTTCAATCGCAAAATTGTCTCCAAAGTATAACGTCGTCGTTGAAAAGTGATAACCCAGACGATGATCGTTGAGAACCGTCATCTACATAATTTAACAAGAGAAGTCTTAGTACTGAACCTCAAGGTACGTCACTAGGACATTATGTAGCCTTAGGAGAAGTGAATTTACCCTGAACTTAAAAATATCTTATTTAGACATGGCTTCAACCAGCTTGTCAGTGGTAACTTTATATCTATCAGCTTGAGCTAACCAAGGAGACATGTATGACTGACCTAGCTAAAAGTTTTTAATAGATCGAGTTATATCACATCCACCTTCCCTTTGGGATCAATGATTGTTGTTGACTACAGTTCCAGATGCCAAACCATAGGAATCGCAAACTTTGGGAGAGAAGGCTTGGGTCTAGTTTGATTCTGTACTTCAAACTACTCAAAAACCTTAGTTATTCAAAATGTAAGATAGTTCTTGCCCACCAAAGTTGAGAAATACAGATCAGAAACTCGGGAAAAGTTCTTCTTCATCAAGTATGCTATAATATGGAACAGTCTTCTCTTCGAAATACACATAGCAGATGAATTACATACGTTTGTAAAACTGCTTGATCAAGCCCTCACTTGCACTGATCTAGCACGCACGAACACATCTGCGCCCCACTCAGACATTATAGGCTCTCTCCATTTTTAGACCAAAATGGACTTCAAGTTCAGTTTGCCTTATTTTTCCTACTTTGCAGTTGTGTTTGTTACCTTTTCCACCCTGTTTCTTCACTTGAAGTAGACGGGTAACTCACTCGACCTATCAATACTGTTCAACTAAACTCGGTCGCTAAGGGACACTCACTACCACCCTAAGAAGTCAAACGGACCGCACAATCGACTGCCTACGACCAGTGGTCTTGCATCTATGGAGCCTGTTACCGATCAACTGGTTAGGACAACACAAAATAACATCAGCACCAAGTTAGTGTGAGTTTCTTCCTGTTTATTCTTTATTGGCTTTTTACTCTTCTGTACACCATGTTGACTAGCAATTAATATTATTTCTCCACTCGTTAACTTATCTACAACTCATATACTTCTATGCTTTTCCACCTACTTTAATTAACAACTATCCTACATCATATCCTTTTTAATGCTTATACTGTGATTGGTATACTATACTTTATACTACAGTCAATTAAAGCACTGCATTGATGCCTTACCCACAGTCTATAACTTGTAACTGCCTGATGAGCTTGTAAAGTAGTACCTATAGAAATATTTTTTCCAGCAGGATGTGAAACACAGAGGATTGTGTGAGGTATAACATATATCCAAAAATAGGCTAAAATGAGCCTAACATCATAAAAGGAAGGATGATGGAGTTACTGGCTAGCAAGCATTGGTGTTGAGGGCGATTACTTCAATCCACCCATGTTTGTGGGGCAGAACAATTTTTATGTATCAGGTTTTTATGAGTGGGAACGGTTCAATCAATCTGTGATATAGATTGTCTTCCTACGCTCACCGTTTAGACTCATGTTTTCAATTTTATGCTGGATTAGCTATTCTACTAAGACAACCTATAACATGCTAACTCAGACTTTTACACTAGGATTTTTTGGCTGGCATCGGATGGAAAAAAAAAAGAAAGAAGAAATTAGACAATAAAAGATATAGTCACTAGTATTCTTAACGCTTCACCCTTTATATGCATATTATCTTCTAAAAAACCGCTTTCCTTGTACCAACCTTGACTTCCCTTCCTTCATGTGAGCTTACTCCAACTTGTTAAACATCACAACTCGTTGTTCTTCATTACTAAATTTCCTTATATGGAGCCTTTGACTTCATTTCACTCTAACAAGAGATAATGTGAATTTAATCTAATTTATTATACATGTCTGTTCTACTACACAATGTTAAGCAACGTTTGGCGTTCATATCCAAGTGCCTTGCCGCTCTTCTGTTTCTCTTTTTTCTTTCTTCAGAATCTTGCTCTGAGGGCACAGCTATGGAACTACTGACGTCTGAAACAACCCTGACGTCCGCGTCTCCTCAAGGCCGTGGTTTACAGCAAGCGCTCTACGAGTCTACTTTATAACAACTATAAATTTATTAAGTTAGGAAGAATGCTCTGCGCCAACAAATGTTGTCATTTGTAGATCATGCCTGAAAAAATGGCGTGTACCTGCTCATGCAGAAATATAATAATATTATTATCTACCCACAGCAAGTAACAAATTGATAATGCAGGACTGGTCCTTCTTGAAATAGCGATTTTCGGGACTTCCTTACTTTTGAGGGTATTGAAAGAGGTCGTACCGGCCAGCAGTTTGGAGGTTCATAACGTTGGTATTTTTTGAAAATTGTTGTGATGTTTTCCAGCTTCCAATTTTATAGAACTGTCACATGACCCAGTGAGTGTGAGGAAATTACACTTCATAGCCTGTCAATATTGAAGCTGATTCTCTTAGTACAACATTACAGACCATATTAGGGCCAAGGGGGTGTTAAAATTTACCTCCGAAATGCCTGGTAAGTTGTATGTGAAGTCTTCTTCGACGTAGGTTGTATGGGATAATTCAAATGTTTGAATATACTGTCGAGCCATGGGCTCTGAGACATCTCCATTGTAGTTGAATAGGTAATTTGGACCTAACAACTAAGAAACCCAAGCGTTGATTTGCCTAAGAGAGACCACGTAGCGATACGAGAATGGAGATAAATTTGTCGACTAGACTGGTCCCATACTAAAAGATACCTTTTCCCAGAGCTTATGTGCGTGGTTTTCCTGATTGTTTGAACTGTCTATATGTGTTGCCGCCTCTGATTTGTTTGTATCCCGCTCAGCAGTACTTTTTAAGTCATAAGGTTCGAAAAGTGCAACTGTTTATGACTTTACATTGTATGTAATTTTTGAAGCAGAGTAATGTAGTGTTCATTAAGAAGTCCTGGTGAAGATGGCACAGGTATTCAGTGTTTGACAACGCTTTTACCAGCAACACCTAATATAATTCGTACCCACTAAGAGAAATCAAAAGACAGAGTCGAGGAGATCGGAATAGTGTATTTGACGATTGCCAGTAAATCGGAATTGTTTGATCTAATCTGGCTAGCGATTGCGGTAGATGTTGAGCACAGCGTTACCACACGTGATCTGGTGCGGATGCATGACCTAGTGCCCTCAGCTAGGTGAGTTCACTAAAACTGATCTAGTCAGCATCCAATGTCAAAAACTTACAGAGCTATTTATTTTGAAGATTTATTTACCGCTACACTGGTAAGCGCTCGCGTCAAGTTAAGTGTCGATTTCTTAGTTGATGTGGTGCAGATTGTCCTTTAAAGTTGACACATGTAATTTATAAAAGTCTCAAAATGTGTAA